CACAGGAGCCCCTCGCTTCTCCCACAAGAGCTCGGGCCATCACCAGCCTTTGTCTCCCCATCTCCCTTGCCAGTGGCTCCCTCTCGATGTTCAGTATCTGACTCTGCCATCATACTGGTTGTTCTGGTTGTTAGGGGAGCCAGGATCATCTTCTGTGAGGGGGGATTATAGAGGCAAGGGAGGTTAGAAAGCACAGGAACCCAGCTTGCAGAACCACCAAACGTAGGGTTGCGTGGCAGGAGGATGGAGGGAAATGCTGGGGCAGTCCTGGAGGTTTTGACATGGCAGAAATGCAGGAGCCCTCAGTGACCAGCTTTGTGGAAAGCTAAAGCAGGAGCGTCACATTGTGAAGGACAGCAGCACAGAGGTCAGTAATAACCAGATGTTAGCAAAATGAGGCACTGTTAATACTCCTAGAGGGGATTTCCACTTCAAGCAAGGTAGTTCATTCAACATTTGCCCTGAAAGAGAGGTAAGAAGGTCTGAGAATGAGCCTCGGGAACATTGTTCCCTTCAGCCCTTAGAAAACCTGCCTAATGTTCCAAAAAGACATCCTAATCCTGTCAGCAGAAATGCCTGAGAGGCAGCAAACCAGCTCTTCCCAGTGCAGCAGAAGCAGAAGTAACGCTGCAGTGCACAGAATAATTCTGGTTTGACCTAAACTTCTGTTCCTTTACATGTTAGTCATATTCTGCTCCATATTTCTAAACTGCAAATGCTCTTCAAAGACAGTGATGGTTTTACCCATCACAACACAGATTGGTGAGCAGGTCTCAGTCCATGTTAGTTGGCATGGCTCCACCAGCTAGAGACCAGCCCTGTCAATTTGGATGCCAATACCTTGATTTAAGCTGCTGTCATGCTCACACTCTATGTAATTAATACAGATGGAGAAATTAATGTCCCTTCTGAGCACTGTCCATAGCCACTGTCCATAGCCATTGAGTCTGTCAGAGAGGGGGTTGCTGTGAACAGAAAGGTGCCAAGCAGACACACACCAGCTGTCCTGGACATACAGGTTGCATTTAATGAGATGTGTGGCAAGTTAGTAACTTCACCAGTTACCAAAAGGGTAGCAGTCCTTTCTATGTCAGTATTGGTATAAAAAATGCAGTGAGATGTCACTGCAACATGGTAATTGATCTCCCTAAATTGACCATTATCCCTCCTGAATCTGGGAGAACCAGGGATGTCTCCCAGCCCATACTGTCCATACCAGCAAGATATGTTACAGCAATTCTGATAATCAAGGTAACAAAACCTGCAGTCCCTTTTACCCCCTCCTGCCCAAGCCATTTATACTGGCAGCTGGTTACATCCCAGCAGGTCCTGTCTCAGGGAGAAACCTGTGGTAGGGAGAAGCTCAGGGAAGGGATAGTCCTAAATAAATCCCCACTGCTTCAGTCTTTGAAAGGACAGTAGAAGGGGAATGAGATGAACCTTGGGGGGCTGGGAGGTCCCAGCTTCCCCAAGGTGAAATGCCAGTAATATGCCTGGCTGGAGTCAGCACTGCAGAACTTAATTTATTTCAGTTTTAGATGCTTGGCTTTTTGCCTTCATCTGAACCTAACAACCAGAGCATGAAATGCTCACTTTCACATTCAGCACAAAGCCCAGTCTTCACTTTATATCCATTTTTCTTCCCTCCAGTGTTTCTTGGTACAGACAAGAAATCAGGGCCAGCAAAGGGGTTAAAAGCAAAGGCAGGACCTACAGGTTCCAACAAATTTGACAAACTCCTTTTCCCTCTCTTTTCTCCCTCTGCCAAGGGTTTTTCTTGTCTCACTACAAATCCAGCCCTCCTGGAGTCCACGAGTAGTGTTCATCTGCCACAGTGATGGGTGCAGACTCTTGGAGGCACAGTCACAACATCTATAGACAATAAAATTCCTAGCTGCTATAATCATGTTGTCAGCAATGAGTCATATGTTCTGCAAAAAATGCCTAAGGAAGCTGCTGGAGTATGCTGAAGGTGGCTATAAACTGTCCTGCTGAGAACAGTTTGTTGACAGTTGGTCAAAATTTCAACCAAAGAGTTACTGAAGTATTCATCACAATTTTCTTTGCCTTCTTAAATTATGTTAGTCATATTAAAATAGCCATACTGTTAGAATTTATTGTGAGGGCAGAATTCAAACTCTCCTCTCCAACACACACTCCCCAGACACCAGGGTTCCTATCAGCATTTTGACAAGCTCATGTCAAGAAATTATGTGCCCCGACTAAAAATTAGTTATTTAAGAGAGCTACTAAAAAATTGGGATCTCTCTCTTTAAATGCTTGACCCTGAGGCAGAAGAGGAGGTGGAGAGAGAGAGAGAAGGAGAGAGAAAACGATAATCGCTTTAGATAACGACCTGAGTCATGGTAATAGCAGCCTAATTGCTATCCAAGTGCTTTCAGCAGGAAACAGGCACACCTAGAGAGGCATCTGTGCAGAGCAAGACTGGGTTGAAATGGAAGAACGACAGAGGTTCTAAATGCACTTTCATCTGTATAGTGTATAGAGTATAGTGGAAAGGACGAAATGGCTGTTTATATAGAAACAGCCTGAAATCCAAGAGCTGCTTCAGACAATGGCACGTGGCTGGTATGTAATTCATGTGAGAAACAGGCACACTACAGGGCTCAGAGTGAAATGGGCATTTATATTTAGGCAGAGAAAAGAAAATAACCGTATATGGGGAAGAAGTGGCTGATGCTGTCTTTCCAGAATAAATCAGCTTCTGCAATGATTATGACTTTTTATAAAATAAAGTTAGTAATGTCAGTCTGACAGTACAAAATAAGATTTTTTCCTTGAAAGTCAGTATCTGCAGTAAATTATTTGCTTGGAAGAAAGCTGCCTGAGAATGGAATAGTTTGTAGTTGATTGATAAATATCAAACATGCCCTTCATATCCATGATTCTGCTTTTGTACATTTAAGAGTTGTTCTTCTCCACGGCTCTGGCTGCAGCCCCTGACACAGCAGCTGTGGGAGGTTTCCACCAGGGTTTGGGCTGTTCTCCAGCTGCCCTCCCTCTTTGGTGCTTCGGTTCTGAGAAAAAGGACTTGGTGACCAGGTGCTGCCCACGTGTCTGGGGGGAAATGAAGATTGGGATTTCTGAGTAAGAGGTAATAAAATGCTGTTCTGTTTGCGCAGGACGAGGTCTGTGGAGTGGGGAGAGCTGAGTGCAAGAATCGATTGTGTCCTCTGATGAAGGAGTCAGATCTTTCAGCAAGGATATTGATTTACGCATTCAACTCTGCAAGTTGCTTTCCACTACGTCTTTTGCAACTGAAACTCAGTGATGTGAATGTCATTAGGTATGAACAAAAGCCTCGTGTTTTGAAAAGCCTGAATCTGTATCTGTAGGATATAAAAGCTGTTACATTTCTGTGCTTTTGCTCTCCTCTGGAAGTCATTTTTCCAGGTTGTTGGTAATGGATGTTGCATGCAGAATGTATGTGTGTGCCTATGCATTGCCATGATTGTTATTTTCCCCTAAAGTAGCCTTTTTTATTATTATTTGTAAATAGCATTTGATCACAGTCTAGAAATATTGCATGACAGAAATTATCTGTCTTGAATTGCTGAATAAGTATTTGGGTAGGCTGTTATGGCAACAGAGGTACACCCTCTGGATTTAAGCATCACAGGTTCTCATGGCAACTTTTTTTTTTTTTAGTACCTGCACATGCAGGAAAATATGCTGGGCTATCCCAGTAATCTCTGGAAAAACAGCAGCAACAAAATAAATTGACATGTTTATCACCTTACATTTGTTTTTGAAATATACATAAAAACCTGCCTTAAATAAAATACATAAATCAGGGGGGGGGAAAGCACACAAAGGCCAAAACAACACTGTGGAAACAATAACATGAAATAATTTTATTAATATCTAGTATAAATTAGTATTTATGTTATACTGATATTCAGAACTTCGACCAAAGATGGATTGGCATTGTCAATATACATTATGAACACTCGGAGCAGGTACCAACCCATGCTATGAGGCAGCTCTGGTTATTGTTTCTTTCTTCTTTGTTAAGACTTGCTGAAATTTTACAAAATAGGGCCTTCAATTAAAAATACATCATGTTCAAATGACCTTGACCTATGATATAACAATCCTAACAAAAGAAGTGTTCAGTCACGGTGTCAAATGCTCCATTTCAGCTTTTCTTCTGCATTCCGGGGCAATGTTCACATTAATCCAATGGGCTTTGGACTAGCCCTTTTCCTTCAACGTGCAATTCTCATAACAAAGATAAATTTTCCTTCCTCTTCTCCCTTTATTACTACTGCTGTCCCCACATGACCCCTCCGCAGTGTCAGGTGTGTAAGTACCTGGCAAAGGTGGCGTCTGTCTGTGATCACAGGTCCCCAGTGCTCACTGTGAGGGTTCAAGTCAGTGCAAAGCACACAGGTTTACACACACGCTCCGGAGCATCCTGTCTGTTTGGAAACAGACCTTGGCTTCACAAAAAGGGATGGTAACTCTTGAACAGGAAGACACCAATTAAATAATTAGGGTTAGCATAGAAAGAGCTGTTAAGTGTCTATCCCTTAATATCTTTAAGAACAAGTTATAAAACCTTCTGTGAGGGATGTCCTCAAGTAAAGCCCTTAAGGGCAGGGAGGTGAACTGGATGGCATCCTAAATTCTTTATTTCTGTGACTGTGCCATCACTGTGCTTGCTTGTCCTCACATGAGTGTAAGCCTGCACAAGCACAGACCCAGAGTAGGATGGCAGGTGCCACAGACAGGAAATTTGAAGTGATACAAGTATGTGGGGCAGAAAACGAATACCTGAGCACCTGGAAGAGTTTCATATGCTCTTAGTCATTTTTTCTGTGAAACTTTTTTAATGTCTGAGGTTCATTAAAAAACTTAAAAAAAAATAACTTACTGGTCCACAATAGGAGCTGTGCAGCACAGGAGTACAGGTAGTTTTACTTATTTAACATGTACTGAAAGTTTTATTTAAGTGCTGGATAGTGAGGGCATTTTTATTAAGCAGGAAGTATCTTAAACTAAAAACCAACTTTGAAGAACATAAACACTTTCTAACATTCAAACACTAAGCATTAATGTGACTATATTGGGAAATATGCAGAGTAGGTGTGCTCATTTCTGAGGAAATTTTCCCACTGGCTATTTGTAAGAAGCGGCTAATGACAATGTCTTTGGCCTTGACAGTCTCCATGTTCCTCTCCCGTGATATCTGCATGCTGATTTGATCCACGTTGGTCATGATTAGCTCCGAGGCCAGGATCTGGGTGGGGGATGCCCTGTTTGCTGTGCTGTCCATGATGTACTGCTTGTACAGCTCCAGCAGCTTCTGCTCCAGGTAGTCATTGAGGGCAGAGTCGGAGAGGGGCTGCTGGTGGGGCCCGAGGCTGGCCAGCCGCCAGCAGGACGAGTGGCCCTGGCCCGGCCTGCGCGCGGTGTCGCTCGAGGGGGGAGCCTTCACAGACTCCATGGCGGGAGGGATCTCTGAGGACTCCAAGAAGGGGCCTATGCCGCTGTCACAAGCGAAATCTGTGGTGACCGAGCTAATCGGCACCACGTAGTCCCCAGCTATGTGCAAATCGTTGTAGTTCTTGCAAATGCTCTTGCAGGAAGGTGGAACCAGGTAGGTGACTTTTTTTGTCAGCTCCCCACAGACATGCGTAGCTGGAGGTGGCTGCCCTGTGGGTGTTGGGTGCTGGACAGGTTGTGGGAGATTATCCTTCTGCCTTCTGCTGTGCTTGCTACCTCGGGAGCAGACTGAGGAGATGCACTTGCCAGCAGATCTGCATCTCTGAAGGAGGCTTTTTCCTTGTGCTTCTCCTGTGGAAGAATAATTAATGGACCTCATTTCATACACCCCTTCATCAGGCAAACTCTCGTAGAGTGCAGGGTTCAGGTCTTCCCAAAGGTAGGTGATTCTATGAAGGTAACCTTCCGACAGCATCCTTCTCCAAGGGAAAGGAAACACCAGCAAACACAAAAATGATAGGAAGAAGTTAATTACAAAAAGTTCATTTTAAACTCCCTGAGCTGTAATTGCACTCACCAGTCTCTTACTAGCTGCAGATATGTCTCCAATTTGGACATGAACAGGAGTGTCTCTGCCTGACTGGGCACTTGAGCCAGTGAGTGAAGTGATCAGCCAGTGTCCCTGTTGTGCTGAACCTCACCAAAGCATATCCTCTATAACACAAAGTATTGCACAATGCATCCAATGGCAAGTGAGTTGTGGAGAGAGAGACAAGAAGTCTTTTGTTGTGGTATAGCTGCTGGAATATCTTACACTAAAATGCATCTAATTTTGCCCTGAAGTTCATTAAGAAGACAGGGGTTTCCCTCTTTTTCTTACATGCTTTTAAGAGGCCAGGGGTTTCCCCCTTTCTCACATATGATTTGAAGCATCTTTTGTTGTGTGTGGTGTGTCAGCTGCCTCTGAACTTTGATGATTTGAGATTCATACTGAGAGTATCACCCCTTCTGTTCCAGACTAATCAGCAGCTGTTGGTGTGGTTCCTTTTTCATTAAAAAATCTCAGACCATTAAATTTGCACTTTGCACTTCTGCATTGCAATCAGGATGGAATTAATTGTCTCTGCCTTTTATACGTGAAAATGTCAGTGGAAAAAGCAAAGTGTTTTGGAGGCATGACTCATCTGGCCTGGTTTAGACACCTAAATCAAAATGAAATTAATTGTGTCCTAGATTTGCTTATCACTTTCTAGTTGCTATAAAAGAATCTTAAACTAGATCCTAGACATAGATATCTGCAGGGTACTTTTGAGGAGACAGATTTCAGTGCAATGCATAGGAGAGTGCACATTTCAGAAGTACTCCAGCTCGCTCTGTCACTGTGGGATTAGCCATACCACAGCTCTGGAATCAGTTTTCATTGCATTTCTGCAAAGGCACAGTCGGGTTCCAGCAGTCACCAACTCTCTCCACTCTCTGAGCAGGCAGCTCAGACCCAAAAGCTGCACAGAAATGTTAGTAATTACATACAGGATTTGCCAGCAAGGACACACATGCTGTACATCAGTAAATGTTCTGCCCAAGCTTTGGCAGCTCTGCTACCAAGAAAAAATTGTTTTAAATTCACCTCTGTCTTTTTTTTTTAACAGATGTCAACAATATAATCAATGGGAAAGATGTTCTAAAGAAATTGTTTGGTCCAGCAAAGAGAAAGCAGATTTAAAGCAAAAATAAATTCAAATGAAAATTATTAAAATAATTTCTTTCTTTATATACTACAAATGGTCTTTTCCAAGAGTGAAGGGACTCTCATTTCTTAGTAGTAAAGTTTTCGTGTGTCACAGTTGCTAATGCAAAATGCTGCACTAATAATTGTTGGCAAAATCCTGCCTAAGCATGGAGATAGACTTTGCATGATAAACATTTCCCTATAAATGATAGACATAGACTCCTTATAAATGTTATGGAGGAGACATTGTGAGAAAATACTTTCCTTGGGGGGAGGGAATCACTTCCACACCATGAAGAAGGTTGAAGAGGAAGGTGAAGAGAAAATAACCTTCCTTCAGGCAGAATTATTAATGGGAATTAGATGTGTCCAGACACTTGTTTTGGTGACCCTGGATTCTCTCTGTTGCTGCTAGTTGTGTGAGATTTCCCACAGGCAGTAACATTTAATTAAAAGTGACCTATTTACATAGAAGAGGGGGAAATCATGTTTGGGGCTTGGCAGTTCTTGTAGTATGCTGCTGTCATCTTGCTTTGGCTTTTAGCTGCATTTAAGGTGCCCCCATAGAAATCTTAGCCAAATGTTAGAGCTGCTCAGGTTATCAACACTCTCTTCTCCTTCTGTTCCCCCCTTTTGCAAAGGCTGTTCCTTTCCCTCTGCCATCCATTGCCCAGATGTCTTTATTGCAGTTATCACTAACTGTGGCTAGCTTGAATCTGGAACTGTTATACATTCATTTGTATGTTATTTTTAAGGTGGGTTTGGAGAAATGAGTGGAAATGTAACATATGGCCTGTCCACTGCTCAACCAACACAGGCAAAGGCAGTTGTGCCCAGGCAGCATGTGACACTTTGGTCTTTCCTGCTCCCCAGATGTGAGTTGTTTCTGCCATAAGGTGCTACATGAGGGAAATGAAACCATTGGTTTCATTTCTTTGCACTGCATTCTGCTATGCTTATTTAAGAGTGTTGGAGCACACTGAGACAGGAGTGGAAACAAAAGAATTGGCAAATTCAGAAATATTAGGGTCTCATTGTGCTCAGAGTTGTGTGTTCTGCTGAATGAGTTACAAGATTGCCCTCTGGAGCTGGCAAAGGCTGCCACGCTAATCTGGCTCTTCCCAGCTCTACAAGGAAATCTGACTGAAGTTTTGATAGGCATTGCTGAGAGAATGAATGCAAAAAGAAGGTGCATGTATCATCTCTGGTGTTTCTTGTACTTAATATAATATATACCTCTGACAAGTTATTATCCCATCACTCCAATTGTCATGCAACTGTGCCACCTTTAATTTTTGCATTTTAAATCTGATAAGGATTGGAGTTTTCATTAATTTTGCTTTCTTGCACCTCTTCTCTTAATCCCTTCTCCATGCCACAGACACATACACTAGGATTCCTAGGGCACAGAGATTATATCTGATGTCTTTCAATATTTGGGTTTATGCTCCTTAAATCCAGATTTAATTTACATCTGCCTGAAAATAATTGCGTAACTTTTTGTTGCACAAGGAAAATCATTCCCTTTTACAATTCTGATCTGACACATTTTGCGTGTAAGGTGAACAAAAAGAGTTTTCCTTGTGTTGCTACTGCCCTGGCAATGGGCACTGACTACATTCTGTCTAAGCCTAGTGGAGATAGAGGGAGAAGACTGCCTGGTTTACACTGTCTTTTCTATCTGGCATAGTCTTTATTACAGTCAGATGATCTTAAAAACTCCTACATCTTGCTCGAGGTTTTTGTTCAGTTCTTCAGCGGAAGAAAAGCCTGAAGGCAGGATGAATGTTTAAGGTCACATGGAGAATCCAGGGGTATTACCAGTGTGTGGCAGCAAATTTGCTAGGTTGTAATGCTTGTAGACAGTGCCAACGTTTGCATAAAGACCTCAAATTACAGTCTGAGAGCAGGAAAACAGAATGGGAGTTCTTGGCTCAGGATAAGCAAAGCACTTAGGAAAGCTTGAGAAGCGTGCACAGAGATATGATAAATTGTGTCCTGTTCAAAAACCTAAGCAAGATAAAATGTTGCTAGAGAGAATGGAAAGAACATCATGCCCACTGGGATCACAGCTCAGTGGGGAAAGGGACATTCTTCTGCATTGCAAAAGGAGGGGATGGAAACTCATAGAAGAGACAAGTTTGTGTTAGATCTGTCTGGCTTTCAGATCCCTGAGCAGGGCTCTGAATGGCATTAAAGTTGGGCTGCTGGGGACTGGAGCTTGGCTCTTATCACAGACTGTACCTTGATTTCTAGCTGATTTGCTAGGTGAGATCCCAGATGACAGTGTCCCTGTCTTGAGGGAACTCAAATCCCAATGGATCTGTCTGTAGTATTTTTTCCCTATTTTAAGAGACATTTTTCCAGTTTGTAGAGACAGAGACAGATCCCCTCAGTGAGGTGTGGGATCCACCTCAGACTGCCAGACAGACATGCAAGAGTCCTGGCAAGCAGGATAGTCTGTAGAGCAAGCTTACAGGTATTGCAGGACCCATATCTCACCTTCCCCTGGGGCTAGTGTGGAACAGCTCCCAGGAAGCCTCAGCGCAGCCAACGTGGGGAAATCAGGACAGTAAAGAAGGCAGTATAATGAGCTGTGCACATGGGGAAGTAGAGCCTCTCCTTAATGCCTGAAACCTGCAGATCTTTGGTATCTGAAACTCATTTGGCTTGGGTAAATGTAATGCTAATGACACCAAATTGTGTGGTGAGATGGACACATTTTACAGAGGGACCTGCACGGGCTGGAAGGTGGGCCAGCAATAACAGCAGCAGGATAACAAAGGCAAGTGGCAGCTCCTGCACTGGATGACACAACCAAAGAGCCCAGCACAGGGCCTGTGTGCCTGGAGAGCCTTGCTGAGAGGGACCTGGGGGCCCTGGTGCACAACAAGGGGACCCTGAGCCAGCAGAGCAGGGCTGCAGCAGTGAGGAAAATCAAATCCTGGGCTGCACCCACAGGGGCACAGCTGGCTGAGACAGAGACAGGGTCTTCCCACTCAGCATTTGTCAGACTGTCCCTGGAGCATCCAGTTCTGGTCCCAAAAAATTCAAACAGATGTGGACAGACTGGAGACAGTCCAATGGAGGGCCAAGAAGATGATCAAAGGGCTGGAAAAGCTGCCTTGTGAGGAAAGTTTGAAGGAGTTAGGACTCAGTCCTGGCAAGCAGGATAGTCTGTAGAGCAAGCTTACAGGTATTGCAGGACCCATATCTCACCTTCCCCTGGGGCTAGTGTGGAACAGCTCCCAGGAAGCCTCAGCGCAGCCAACGTGGGGAAATCAGGACAGTAAAGAAGGCAGTATAATGAGCTGTGCACATGGGGAAGTAGAGCCTCTCCTTAATGCCTGAAACCTGCAGATCTTTGGTATCTGAAACTCATTTGGCTTGGGTAAATGTAATGCTAATGACACCAAATTGTGTGGTGAGATGGACACATTTTACAGAGGGACCTGCACGGGCTGGAAGGTGGGCCAGCAATAACAGCAGCAGGATAACAAAGGCAAGTGGCAGCTCCTGCACTGGATGACACAACCAAAGAGCCCAGCACAGGGCCTGTGTGCCTGGAGAGCCTTGCTGAGAGGGACCTGGGGGCCCTGGTGCACAACAAGGGGACCCTGAGCCAGCAGAGCAGGGCTGCAGCAGTGAGGAAAATCAAATCCTGGGCTGCACCCACAGGGGCACAGCTGGCTGAGACAGAGACAGGGTCTTCCCACTCAGCATTTGTCAGACTGTCCCTGGAGCAT